CACTCTCACTGTTTGAAAGTCCACTTTATGTGCTTCAATTTTCTAATTTGAACAACTATTTCTAAGATGAGAATATGTAATCTATTCACTAGTGATTTCTTACTGTTTATTTTTTAAATTTTATATTACTTGTACCCTTTTTCTGTTTTTTTTTTCTCCTTAAATAAAAAAAATTATCTTCTGAAAAAAAATACAATCTTTTGATCCCTAAAAATTGTGTTTAATTTTTCTATTAAATTGTGAGGACGTTGAAATGTCTGACTATAATTCTGTATTCAGTTGTCCTTTTATCAGTTTTTTGCACATTTCGAAGCTCTGTGCACATGTGTTCTGAATTCTTACACACTTGTGGTCAATTGGTGTCTTTCTCCTGAAACAACCTGTTTTATCCTTGGGAATGCAGTCTTCACTCAGAAATTGACTTTCCCTGACGCTCCTGTTGTCACTGCAACTGCCTTGGGCATTGAACTGGCCAGAGCTTTGTGTATCCTCTTTTGACCAAATTGTACTCTTATATTCAGAGGGGATTTCTGGTCCACTGAGGTAGAGATAGCAACACGGAAGGAGAAAATTCCCCTTAGGCACACAGTAGACAGGCACATTCCAGTAGAGTACAGGGCCCTGACTGAGCAGAAGTTGGAAGTGGGGTAGTCTACGTAGGTAGTTTCCAAGTAGCAGCCCATGGTATCCATAGCAGAGCTGGGAAATAATAATTTCCTGTGCAAATCCTGGCAAACACTACCATCAAGAAGATGCAGCATCACATCAGCAGTTGTTGTGTTTAGGGACATCATGACCCTCCTAGTGTGACACCTGGGGTGGGACCGTCAACTCTGCAGTGCTCTTGATAGAAACACATCACCATAGTCTCAGCATGAGGGAATGTCAGGCAGCCAGCCAAGGGACCTGTGCAGAGGAACAAGGACAGCGTTCCTGGTAGACAGCGGACAGCCACAGATGGGAGGAGACAGCGGTGTCCCCGCCACTGCACACAATGTGGAGTCCTAGATAGGTCCTGTAAAAGACAGATGGGAGAAGCCCAGGTGAACTGTCCACTGTACTTAGCAGTACTGCAGGAACGTCCACTTCCTAATGTCACTCATCGTCCTTTGGATCTCTTACGTTCCCCCTGTCTGAAGAAGCCAGGTGATCAGTGTATAGGAACTCAATGACCTTCTTAAAATCTGAAACTATTTCTACATAAAAGGAAAATAAAGCTAATAAGCAGCTTCTTTGTAGGTGCAATGGTTAATCTCACCTGACAGTCTGTGCTTTGTAACTGGTGATGAATGCAAATCACTGCCCTGTGTTCACTCAGCTGGGTTCCAGCCTGTCTTCCACCCTTTGTTTGCTCTTCCCTGATTTTCCTCCTCCCTTTGGATTAGTATTCGCGTCTCTCACCCTGCTGAGCCTCTATCCTGTTGCATGTATGTTGCTGCCTTCCAGCGTGTGCCATTGGTCAGCCAGGCCTCCCTTCAGCAGCGACCCACCAGGCCACGTGTGTGCAGGGAAACAGTGCGACATTTCTGCCTTCCCGGGCTGTGTGCTGCTGTTTCCTACATTTTATTTCTGTGCTCACCGTGGACCTCACTGTAACTGGCCATTATTCTTCTTTCCATTGGGACAGAAGGTGCCTAACATGAACTCACCCTCATTGCCCTCAAGTGCACAGCCCCTGGCATTGGGCACCTCAGGGTGCTGGGTGACCATCTCTGCCTGCACCTCCACAGGGCCTGTGTCACAGGGCTGCTATCCTCTATGAAGTGTTGGTTTGACTTCATGAGTAATTGGGAGAATGATAAACTTGAGTTTTTATGACCACCACTTGTTCCATTCCTGGTGATCCTCACACTCATATCACTGCCTTCCTGGGAAGCTTTCCTGTCATCTCCCTTGCTGAGCAGCTCTGCTGAGGAGGGACACCCTGGCCACCCATGTGTCTGAGGCCATCACAAGAGGCCTCTGTGCTGACAGCAGCAGCTGGCAGGCCTGGGAGATATATATCTGTGTGACACATGTGTGAGTCAGAATCATTGCCCTGAGAGAAGGGGACCAGACACAGACCACACACACTGTGAACCATGTTCCTGAGACTCAAAAGGGAAAGCAATTTAACTATGAATAGACCCATGGGAGCCTGGGCTGACTGTTCAAAACCAGGGGCTGGCTTCAGGGTCACAACGCTATCCCTGTGTGAGTGCTCGGCCACTGGTGCCCAGCCTAGAGCTGGCCTGGGCTGAAAGAGGGAGCTGGGACAGATCAGCACTGCCTGGCTTCCTTCCATGGTGCCTGGGTCGGGTGTTTGCCTGTGTCCTTGCAGTGTCCGTGCTGTTAAATGACAGGCCTTCCTCACCATCCCTGAGAGCTTCCCCACTCCCCAGCCTGTGTGAGTTTATCTGGGGGTGCTGGTCAGACGCTGAGCTGCTGTCAGGGGTGGAAAAGTAATAGCAAGAAAATATAGGAGCCTTGGGTTTTGTGAGACTTTTCTGACCCTTCTTTCTCTGGCCCTGGAGCAACAATTCCCAGCGAGGCCCCATCTCACCCCCTTGCCTGGGGAGTTCTGGTTTGGGTTGTGGAGACCCAGGGGTGGGAAGTGGGCTCAGCATCCTGCAGGTGGAGGTCCATGATGCTGCTAACCATCCTGCCATCCCATGGAGGCCTGGCTGAGATCCCCCACGGGGACCAGAACCTCACTACAGCACAACTAGACAGAGCACTGCCCCACTCCAACCCTGTGGCCTGCTGTGGGAAGGTGAGGTCCAGTGGGCTGGGGTCTAAGTGAGATCACAGGAAATGGAGGAAGTGGATCACCTCAGAAAGACAGGAGCACCTGTGGCAGAAGTGGGAACCAAGCGTTTCCAGGACAGTCCACACTGTGCAGGTCATCGGGGTGTCAAAGTGAAACACACCAGCTCTTATACAAAATCTGATGAGTCCTTCCCTGTGACCATGGCCATGATGGCTCCCTGTAATCCTCTCCCTCCTGCCTCCCTGGGAGGAGCCACTGTTACTCAAAGCTGGCTATTGTGTCCCTGGATAAGAGGCAGCTGCTGAAGCCAGAGCCTAGTACCCTTCCATCTGCAGCTTGGAGTGAGAGTGGCTCCTCCCAGGCTCAGCAGACTGGGACCCTCCCTGGTCCAGTTTTTGTGGGGCTAAAGCTGGGTCCCTGGCGTGTCATATCCTGGATGTGGACCAGAAAGGTCACAGGCAGCAACTTTCATGGTGTCACTCCCCAGGGTCTGCATGATGAGGATCACAGGGTGCCAGGGCATCACACTGCCCGCATGGTGCTCACCACACAGGTGGTGCAGAGTAAGAGTCCTGCAGCCTCCAAGCTGGCTGTCCAGCAGCCTCCCAGGATCCCTCCTCGGTGTACTCCAGGCTCTCCAGGCACAGGAGTGCCCGGGACAGCATACAGACCTCCGCAGCGGGAATCAAGTGGAGAGCCTGTGGCTGGCCACCAGGGTGGAGCACAGGAGCTTCCTAGTAGCTCCTAAGGAAGGGGAGCAGGTCCTGCCACACTGTGCAAACTCAAACAGAGCCAGGCCACACCAGCAGAGGCCCAAGCAGTCCCACAACATGTAGGTGGCTGAACAAGATGACCAGGATAGCCAGGGGTTCTCAACCCAGGCTTGAGGGTCACCCAGCTGCTTGTGGAGATGCCAGGGATGGTGAGGACAGGCCAGAGGTGCTGCACAGTCTCATGCAAAGCTGGGGTTGTTTAGCCAAAATGCCCACAGTGTCCAGTTGAGAAGCCCTGCCTTATACCTCATGCTGGCAATGAATTTTGGGGTTTGCTATGGGGGGAAAATGACAAAAACAAAGAAAACTTTCCACTAAAAAACAAGGATAAAACCTTTCTGAGAAATGAGTAAACTGTGGGAGGCAGGGTCATGGGTGGAGAATGGGATGGCACCCTGAGCAGACTCTGGGGGTCCCACATTGGCCAAGGTCAGGGCAGAGTGGCAGAAAGCCCCAGGAAAGGAAGTGGGCTGGTAGCAGCCTTTGAAGGTCTCACTGGCCAAGGCCTGTATCAGGCTTCTGGGGCCCACATGCCATCACGGGGGAAAGTTCCCTGCAATAACCACTCCCCCAGAGAATCTTCCCCCAGTGAAAGCTGGCTGGCTACACACCCTTGTGGGTTGTATGTGGCTGCTGGGGCACATGCCCTCATCTTGTCCTCCACTGACAATGCTACAGCAGGTGGCTGAGTGCTCTGTTGCTATTCAAAAGCTACAAAAGGCTTTCTCAGAAGCCCCCTGAGGCATATGGTGCCCATCTTCTGGAAACCAATGGATGCAGGAATTTCTGCACACATAGAAACAAATACCACCAACAGCCAGGACTTTGACCAGGACTTTCCCAGTACCTTGACGCCCACCATGCAGGCTGCAGCTGCTCCCTTGGGCTGGGTGGGCCCCTGCAGGGTAAGTATGTACAGGGACCCAGAAAGGAGCATGCAAGCAGCCGAGAGGGCTCCACTCAGTTTCATTCATCAGCAGAAGACATGGGACACGCAGAACAGACAACAGGGGACACATGCTGGCCAGGCCCTTGGCCTTGGAGTGGTTTCCAAAAGCCGAGTGAAAGAAGAAGGAAGGGAAAGGGGAGGCCTGGCCCATGCAGCACACCCTTCTGGCCACAGAGGGCCCTGCTCTCTTGGCCCTTCTGGGGTGTCCTTCTGTCCCCTACTGAGTGCTCAACCTCAGTCTTATGCACACTGCTAAGCAGGCAGCTATGGCCAGACATATCACAAGTTTTGAGAGAGAGAGTTTCATAAAATTAATACTTGTAAGGTCTCTGTTATGCCTAACTTAAATCCATGCCTCAGCTTAAGGTCCTTCCTACTTAGCTTAATATATATTTTTTAAAAGCTTTTGCATCCTCACAATGAAAGTTGAGAGCAAAGCCAAGTATTGAACTGAGACTAGGACTCACAGGGTAAACAGAGCTCAGAGACCATAATCACCTAAAGCAGGACAGGTGTCAAGGTTTGTGTCTGGATGTCCCCACAAAGCCTCATGCAGGCATGGAAGTCACTGCATCTAGCATTTGTGATTGGTTCATTGTCTAATGCTGGGATTGGCTGTGTGAGTGCTGCACCCACCTTGGGGCAAGAAGCTTGTATACAATATAAGGAAGAAGGCAATCTCTTCCCTTTTTTCCCTTTGCTAGCTCTTGTCATCTTTGGTACCTGCCACCACCATGAAGGGTTGCCCCTGTGCCACACCACCCTGCCTTGGAGCCAGCAGAGTACAGACTGAAACCTCTAAATACTGTAAGCTAAATAAACTTTTCCTTTCTTCACTTTGGGTGTCAAGTATTTTGTCTCAGCAACAAGAGAAAAGTAACCAAGAGAAGTGGCGAGAGAAAGAATCAGTGTGTGCTTTGTGGCTCCTTTCACTGAGGATTACAGGTTAACTCCCACTTCTCAAAGACTCAGAAACCACAAAGTGAGGGGCTTGTGACCCTGCCTGATAACACTGCTGGGTGCCAGGGCCCCTGCCCACTGAGGACTTTGTCCAGGGATGAGCTAGCAACATCATAATCACTAGCAACTGTAGGAAGCAGCCCTTGAAACTCAATGCCAAAAGAGACCAATAAATCTAACCCTTAGTAAGTACAGGTGCAAGACAAAGACATCAACTGGTACTTCACAAATGGGTATTTTTCTAGTTTTTCATGATAACAACAATAAAAGATTGCACCTGGGCAGGAACTGTGCAGCAGCTCAGATGCTAGAGATGGATCTGAGGAGCTGGAGCAAATCCTGGAGGTTGTAGGGAAAAGCCTTCATAGGGAGTGAAATGCATCACATGCTATCTCTGCTAGATTCATGTCTCAGGAGATTACCAACTGAATTTAGCAAGGACCTTAAGAAAGGTAGCAATACTCCTTAACCAAAGCAGTGAAAGTCTGTGAGCTTAAGACTCAAGGCAGAATCCTGCTTAATGTCATCGAGCACTAATCTTATCACTCTCTCCACACAAGCATGTAATCATATATGTATGTGTCACATGCAGGAGCACACACACACACACACACACACACAGGCTAGTGTCCTTAAGAATGTCTTGTGCACAGTAAGCCAGGCCTGGTGGCACACACCTGTAATCCCAGCATTCTGGGAGGTTAAGGTGAGAGGACTGCAAGCTTGAGTCCCACCTGGCCACTTAGGAAGGCCTTGTCTCAAAATTAAAATAAAGTCAGACAGTCTTAACTTGTGCATAGGAGAGGAAATCCTGCCAGAGGAGTTGCTTAGGTACAGTCCAGAGGTTGGGAGCTGCCGTTTTCATTTACCAATAAAGACTCTCAGGTTGTGATGACCTCTGCTCTACCCCCACAGGCAGCTTTGAGCAGGGTAGATGAGGTCTCAGAACAACAGCCCCGTCCTGAGTCCCTGCTTCTTTCTGTAATGCAGTTCCAGCTGGTGTGTACACAGAACAATATTTAGATACTTTGAAGCCAGGCATGGTGGCACAAGCCTGGAATCCCAGTACTCAGGAGGCTAAGCCATGAGGATTGTTATGAGTTCAAGGCCAGCCCTGCACTAGAAAATCAGACCCTGTCCCAAAAAGCAAAAAGCAAAACCAAAGAAAAGAAAAGAACAACAGAAACCTTGGGCCTGCCGTCTGTGCCAGGCAGCCTGGCTTCACACGTAGCTAGAGGCCCCGGGGTCCAGGCTGCACACCCAGGATGAAGAGTAGGACAAGAGGACAACAGACTTTCAGGCCAGAGGAGGTTTAAGCACTTCCTTCTCTTCCTGTAAGAAAAGGATTTTCATTATCATTAAAATGGTAGTTTTTCAGAAGGAGCCAAACAGGACAGATTAGCACCTCCTGGTGGCACAGGTCTCTTCCAGGAGAAAGGGGAAAAACCAAGAGAGAAAAAGAGAATGCAGTCTGAACACAACTAGTTAGAACAAAGACCTTAAGAGACCAACACCTGGGCAGATGGAGATCCACAACGAAAGGCCCACCTGGCACAGGGGCAAACACTGCCGTCCAGCAAAGGAGCAAACCTCCAGACCTTGTGTCTGGCCTCAGCCTCAGAGCTCACAGAGCCGCACTCACATGCCACACAGGGCACTGCCAGCCTCCCCTGCAGCAAGGAGATGGTGGAGTTACTCAAGAGCTAAGAAATGATAAAGTTAATACCGTACAGCTAGGAAAGCCTGACATAACATTCCCTTGCAAGTGACAGAAATCTTCGCCTCTTGCCAACATACCCCAAGGGAAATGGAATGAGGAAGAACTTGAGCCCAGAAGCACCATCCTGTGGCCAGATTCCAGCTGTCTAGTCACCAGGAAAGGTGGAGACGGTACAGGAGAAAAATGTCAGAGAGGCCAGGCAGATTGTACCACAGCCCTTCCTCGGTGCCCAGGGACTTTGTGGAAGCAGACTGCCAGACCTGGAGAAGTTTAAACAGAGCCAGCATGTTAACTCACTAGTTTTTACAAAGAGGAAAAAAGTGATAGTAAAGCCAAAGAGAAGGAGAAACCTTAATACAATAGCACCTACTGACTCCCAACTTTCCTTCAGGAAGTATCCCCACCTGGCTTAGCCAGGCTTTCCCAGTCCACTGGAACATAATGGAAGAGGAGGAAGAGGAGGAGGAGGGGGGGGAGGAAGGATAATCTGTTTGGTGTCCCTAAGAATCACTTGTCTCTATTATTTAATATAGACACACAGCACCAAGATTCTGGTGTGCAAATAGGCTTGAAGAACATCGGCTGTTAGGAGCCACTGAAAGGAAGAGAACAAGGCAGCATCTCCTGAGAATCAGCCATGCTGGAACTTGGGGGACCCACCAAAAAAGCAACGAGCCATCCTTACTGCTAAGCACTGAGAGCTGCAGGCTCACCAGGGGGGAAAACAAGTCAGTGTCTCCTGTGGGCCTACGTGCATGTGGGCCTAGAATCAAACACCCCACTCTGCACGCTGCCCCACCCATTAGTCACTGGATGGTGTTGAGGACAACCTGCTTTGATAGCAACTATGATACATAAAGCAACTAAGTGCTTGTATGTTTGGTTTATTATGCTGACCTGCAGCCAGGGGTCTTAGCATCTCTTGGGAGGATGACTGTATGCAATATGGCAAATAGGGGGATTTCCTTCTATCTTGTCTTTGAAGGCAAATATTGCTTTCACTCTTTTGCTTTGTTCTGATTGTTTTGCTGTGTTCAATATTCTGTTTGATTGGTTTTATATTGCTCTGTCTTTGGTATGATTTTTATATACCTGATTGAATGGGCAACTATTGTGAAGAAAACAAGGCATACTATGGTAGCTATTATTGCCATCCCAGTATCCTGCTCTGAAATTCTGTACCAATTTCACTGCATTGTCTTGATTTGCTTTGTTTTGTCTTGTTTTGCTATATTTTACTATCTTTAAAATGAAAAATAAATAAATATACATATAAAAACTGGAAATTGAACACATGTACAGGGCAGATGCAAGCCTGGGGCAAGATAAAGGCTGAGGACACCTGGCTCCAGCTCCAGTTATGTAAGGACGGTAGCCACAGGCATTTTACCCCTGTACTGAAATGCAACATGAGGGTCTTCTAAGATACTTACCCTTGTTAACATCATTTGCTACTTGCAAAGTCTTTGGACCACTCCCAGATCTGTTCATTTGCCTGGGTTTTCTACTCTAACCCCCTAAGTAAACATGGGTGACCCAGAGACACTCCCTGTCTTAACCACTAGAGTCCCTGAACTCTGTAGAGGGCTGTGATCCTCCTGGAGCCCTAAAAGCATACCACTTACCTCATTTAGGTTAAGCCTTCACTGTACACTCATTTGGGGGATATTGGAGATCTAGGCCAGGTACCTGATAACTGGTGCCTGGAACAGAAACCTGAAACCCTGGACTAGGAATTGTAGCCTGAAGAAGTAAGCCCACCCTGAGTGGAAAGTCTGGGTAAAGAGGAGGTCTTCACAGGATGAAAAACTTCACCGGGGACACCAGGAGAAGAGAGGGAAGAACAAGGCTGAGTCTTCCTACTGTGAACAAGCTGTTTTATCCAACAGTAAAACCAGAGCCAGGGATGTAGCTCAGTGGCTGAGCATCTGCCTGGCAAGCTCAAGGCCATGAGTTCTATTTCTAGGAACAACAACAAAAATAGGCAAAAGCGTTCAGCGGAGGAGCAAAGGTATGTATGGCTGCTCTAAGGCCTGCTTAAAGGTCCGAAGGTTTATGTGCCAAACAAAAGACCTAGAAAAAGGTTAAAAGAAGTAACCAAATATAATATGTGGTTTCCTCAGATAGGCACTATACATATTCATCATTGGGAACGAGTTGAAAAAAATCTTAAAAAGGCACGTAATAGGGGAAAAATCATTTCCCCCTAAGAGGTTCTCAGTTTGGAACCCACTTCATTCAGTTTCAAGTCTGTTACAGAGCGCTTACTCAGTAAATTCTGATTCAGACATGGACAGGGTAAGAAGAAACAGCAGGGGAAGGGACACTTCTCATTTGCACCCAACAGGGGAGAGAAATGAATAGGTAGTGAAAGACAGATGGGCTTGAGAGAAGCCAGAGACACAAACAGGCTAAGAGAATTCAAAGGGAAAACTGGCTTACAATAACCAAGGGAAAAAAGTGTCTCTATCTTACCAGTTGTTAGGAATGGGACAAATACATTCTAAAGAATCACAAATGTATATGCAACTGTTTATTGTATGTTGGATTCCAGTATTTACTCTCCTTTTGTAGATTTTGATTAAAAGGTGTCTTGATGATTATGGGCTTGTTGGGATGGCCACAAGGAAACTGGCTTGGTTCAACACTTCAAAATCAAATCCCAACTAGAGCAAGGACAAGGACGTAAAGAAACAAGGTTGCTTGTTTTGCTGCAAGGGAAAATCAAGGTTACAGTTCAACCTACTCAAAACACTGTTCAAATCTCCCCGAATTCTTGCAGTGCTCAATTTGTTATTCTTCCCTTGAGAAAAATTGGGAAATCTGTAAATTAAAAAAGGGTATCTAAAGGTTTTGGATCTTCTGATACTTATTGGGTTCCACAGATTAAGCAGGCCAATCCTAATATACAATTGACAAGTAAAGAAAAAGCATTTAAAGGGCTTTTAGACAGAGGAACAAGTGCCTCAGCTATTGCCCAGCACCGTGGGCCTGTGGCATGGCCTCGGATGTGACCACTACAGCTCTACAGGTCTGAGCAATGTTTCTCACCCTAGTAAAAATGCTAAATTGATTTAGCCTGGAGAGATACAGCATGCCTCTGTTGCCATATGCAACTGCCTTACTTTTGAGCTATAAATTTATGATCAATTTAGAATCACAGCCACAAGGGTGTGGAGGAAAATTTCTTCAGTGGGTGAGAGAGACATCCCAAGATTTGATTTCTAGCCTTCAGGAGCTAACGTCATTTCAGAAATTTGCCTTTAAAAGTACATATAAATGGTGTCAGGCACAGAGAACTGTTGCTGGCCTGGCCTGGCCTGGCCTGGCCTGGCTCTGTGAGGTGGGACCATGCCTTGGAGTTGGGGCTTACAGTCCTGCCTCCAGTATGCTGAGGAGTGAGCACTACCAGGGCCAGCTATGCCTTTCAATGGCTGGCCTTCTGGTAGCAGCACAGCACTGGGCCCAGAGCTGGGAAGATGGAGGTTCCTGAAAGGTGGGACCCAGCTCTGGTCAGCCGGAGCCATCTCGGTTTTTCCAATCACTGGCATATGAACTTTATGCATCAAAAGTTTACACTGCACTGGCCCTGGGGTCCCCGATAACAGTGGGGCCTCCAGGCCAGAGCAGGAACACAACCTGTGTCACCACAGCAAGAGAGAGCCCAAAGTGCCTAAGTAGAAAATGCAGTTTTCTTTTTTTCTCTATACCTTACCACAAAAATCACTTATAATCTTCAGGTCCATAAATAATTAAATGTGCTCACAATTTAAATTTCAAAAAACAAGAGGGAGAGTTCACCTCATAATAGATTTCACTTGTCAGAAAATACTATCTAAAATTTTTAAAATTCTAATAAAGATGTAGCTACTGCAATAGAAAGATAATATAATCAAATAAAAGCTAAAAAGTCCATTGGAAAGACCTTCATACTGGACATTAAAAGCACCAGTCCAGTGCTAATGTGCGGTTGAAGGTGTGCTTGTGTTTTTCTGGAGAACGCTGACTGGCCTATCTGGGTGCCAGAGTCTGGCTGTATCATGGACCCAAAAGCACAGAGGTGATTCCACCTCTCCAGAAGCTGCTACTCAGTCCTATGACAGTGATGCCTCAGAAACCACACAACTGATGGAAAAGGATGAAACTAAAATGAACCTTAACTGACCTAGGATGCTCAGGAGATGGTATCCAAAAAAAAAACTAAAGGTCTAAATAGGTGTTGAGTGTATAAAGATCACCAAACTGAAACTTTAATGAAAGAAAGGGACAAACGAGTTACTAGTATTCTAAAGATAAAATATAAAAATGTTAATTATCGATAAGATTTTGTCTTTACTCAATCCTTTTAAATGTGAGTTCTCTGCTAATTGACCTATAAAAATTGGACTAGTCAATTTATAGTTACAAATTCTAAAATTGTAAGCAATTATTGTAATTCAATTTGGCTAAAAATATATTTGCATTTTGATGTGTAAGATGTTTGTCAGTCTGTCTGTGTATCTGTTGTCTGTTCACCCAGTCTACTTAAGGAGTTGTTGGGAGTCAAATGAACTAGTGATCATTCATGCATATGGAGTCCAAGCACAAGTGCCATACAGGAGTGCCCAAGTGGCACAGAGCACCTGACAAGTGCCCTGAGGGCACGGGGTGATGGAGGTGAACAGGTGCTCCAACACTGAGAACACAGCGTGTAAGAAGTGAGCCAGCTCATCAAGGGGGCATGATTCAAGTATATAAATAGCCCCTGAGGAACTTAGAGGGCTCGCACAGACCCCAACAAATTGTGTGCCTGTTTCTGTGTTTGTTGAATCTGTACAAATCGTTTATGAAATCGTCTATCCATGTTTGTCCATTTGTACACTCTGTAAACAGCTGTTCCTTTTATTTTGAGCTCAACCATTTTTTTCCTTTTTCTTTTGCATTTTTGGATCACTTGACCAAAAGTTGACTGGAGTTAGAGATTTACAAAGCTTAGGTTGCCACCTGGTCCAAATAACCCAAAGACTGGAAATACAAATGTAATATAAATTGTTGTTTATTATGGATTTCAGAGCCCCATTGTTTAAAAAATTAATGGGTTAAATGTTATGATTGGGTTTTTCATCAGTCATCAAAAATAAAAATAAATAAATGAAATGAATAAAAATAAAAACTATATTTTATTAAGATGAGTAAACAAAATCCCTTGGGGTTGGGATTATTGGATAGGACTCTGACTGACAAATAAGAAAGCAGCTGCCTGTTAACTTTTTTAACCAGCTCTTGTTTATTGAGCGGAGGCCCGAGTGATCCACAGCCTTATGGGAGACAGCCCGACTAAAGTTATATAAAATGTATTATTATAATATGTTAACATTGATCATCATCAAAAGAAATAGTACAGTAGGGTCTCTGATTTTAAAATGTTCAGACACAAAAGTTTCATATGGCTGTGACAGACTGTTATTAGCCCCATGGTATATTAATGTATGCAGCCTCCCATATATGCAGGTTTTCCAAAATGTAAAACAGGGGTTGTTTGTGGTAACAAAATTTTGTTTCATATTCAAACCTTTGCAGGTACCAAAAACTTAAGAGGTTCACATTCCACTAAAAGTCAGTAAGTTAGGTCAAAGCGTTCATGTTTTAGGTAGGGATGACTGACTAAAAGGGGAACTTTATGTCAAAATAAAAGTTCAGATATATTGCAAAATGTCACGATAATAATGTTATATGTGGTTTTGGCTTCTGATTTTCTGTGTAAAATATATAACTGTTAACATTGTATACATATTCAAATGTTGAAATATCCATGGATAATAGAAACTAAGTTTCATTTAATGTTCTAAGGTGTTTCATATTTAGCTAAGACAGCAATGTTAAGCTCACTGCCTTTGATACACTATATTGTTATCAATCTTTTCTTCTGGATGTTCAACAACTAAGAGACCAAAAATCAGAGACAGATGGACTAAGAAGACAGCCAATGTTTTGGTCCCAGCTCTTCAAAGTCAATGAGGACCCAGGACACAAAACCACCTCTGCTTGTGTCATCCACAGATACTCAGTGAGTCCCTGGTGTTTTGGTCAAGAAGATTATGAGAACACAGAGTAAAACAGTCTTGGATGAATGGTGTGCCTAAGGAGAGTCACCAGGAGAAAAAAAATCTCCCAAGCTTTCATGTAAAGCACCTATATGATTATACAGAGAGAGGAGGAAACAGTAAGTAGAAAAAAACTAACAAGAGGCTCTGGAGGTCTGTTAATAATCTCCCTGTTTCTTGAGTTGGGCACTACTGACATAGGTGTGCTCACTTTGTGATGATTTGTGGTTTGGACACCTTTATGTGAACATGTCACATTTCAAAAAACTTATGCTTAAAATGTTCTGGCTGCATTATTAAAAGACTACATTTTTTCCCCACATAATGATCAGATGTAGTGGCACACACTTGAAATCTCAGCACTATGAAGATAAACAGGCATATGGTTTGCAAGAGTGTTAACTGTCTTTTTCTTCCTTAATTTCCTAACTGCATTTTTAGATTATGTAATTATTTTTCTGCTTTCCATACACAAACATACAAATTATTCTGCAATAAATTTCACCTAGTGGCTGATTAACTTAAAAAGAGAGTATTTTTTTAAAAAGTATTCAAAGGCAGACACCTAGGAAAACAAGACTGATAAAAAAAAACTGGTCAAAAACATCAGCCAGGTGTGCTAGTGCACTCCTGAAACCCCAGCAGAAGGCAGAAGGATTGCCTCAAGTTTGAGGTCAGCCTGCGCTCCACATTCCACATGGATATAATGCCAACATTAAAGTGAAAGAGTAAAACAAGAGAGTACTTACTTCTCAAATTCTCTTTCAATCTTTTTGGCAAAGTATTACCAGTTGGAATATAAAACCTATTCAAGAAAATGGTGCTAAACACGATTAAAAAATGAATTATTTTAAGGAGCCCATATTAATTTGCACACGTGTGTGTGTGTGGTGATGGCACTAGGCCTTTCTAATTTCTTAAAAATTTGATTACTGTAGAAGGGATTAAACTCTACATTAAACTGAGAACATCCCAGCCCTTTTAATTTTTATTTTGAGACATGGGTTTGCTAAATTGCCCAGGGTATCTAATTTGTAACCCTTCTGACTCAGCCGCTGGGATTACATGCATGAACCACCACACCCAGCTAACAGCCCTTATTAAAATTCCACATCAGAGTTGGAAGCTGTAGATCATAAATTTCAATTTTTCTTATAGAAAGTTTCTCCCTAAACATTCCTTGAAAGGCAGTTACTCAGTCTCTATCACTCATAAAATCAAATACATATCAGATTTATTAATAAAGCACAGTATAGAACTAAAGTTTCAGAATTTGCATTTGAAGAAAAAAATTAAAATCAGAAATATTTATGTTGACTGGTCTTTGATATAAATTTGTGATCCAAATTTGAGTGGCTCCAAGTGTCATATTTCCTTAATCCACTCATTCTCCCATTGTCACAAAACTCCCTTTTTCAGAAATTACACATTGCTCTTCCATCCATATTCTCAGTCGATGATCCTGACTCTGGTTTCACAATCAGCTTTCACCTACTACATTACTAATACCCCACTTTATTTTCTGCTGATGAACATTCACAATTTAACACCTGTTATCACACTGAAATTGTTCATTGTCAAGTACACCAATGACACACTGCTAAAAAGAAAGTCAATTATCACTGGAACCATCAACATCACCTCACACAGCTAGCTGGCCCATCTTCCCTGGTGAGGAAATATTTTTTTCTGGTTTATCCCCTCCCCTACTACTTCACAGACAGCTCCTCATTCCCTGCTCTTGATCCTTCCTCTGGAGTGTTAACCCGTGAGTACGCTAAAGTTTAGGTTTAGAACTCTTCTCTTTGCTAGGCGTACTCACTTCCTTGGTAATCTCATTTAAACACATAGAGTTCATATCTTAAATGTAAACTTCAGGATTTTTCATTTCAGTTTGAACTTTCCCCAAAATTCCTAAAAGATGTATTCAAGTGCATATTCAGTGCTCTCACCTCACATTTAACATTACTACAACTGAATTTCTTATCTTTATTCTGAATATTGCTTCCATCCACAGTCTAATTTTTTAATTTCAGAAATGGGAATTTTGTTCCTCTAACTGCTCTGCTCATACCTTGTGGTCTTCTTGATCTGTATTTCTCTTATACTTTTAACTTCTAATCAGGGAATCCTACTGTACCTACCTTCAAGACCTAACTACATCTTACCAACTTCACTTTAATGTTTGTCTTAGCATCATCTCTTATCTGGATGACAGCAACAGGCTGTCATCTAACTTTGTACTTTCTAGACTTTAGAGGCTATGAACACAACAACTACACTGTTAAACCACACCATATCTTTGTTCAAAATTTTATGGAACCAATTTTCACAGACTAAAAGGCTGTGTTTATAATGGCTTCTAAGACACTATCCAAAGTGCTCCTACACAAATCCTTATCTCCTACTATCTTTTTACCTATTTAGTTCCATACTTAAACCTGAAAAACCTTATTTAAAGCTGGATGTGGTGGCACATGCCTGTCACCCCAGCACTTGGGATGCTGATGCAGGAAGATCACTGTGACCTCCAAGCTAGTTTGACCTATAAAGTGAGTTCAAGGCCAAGCTAAAATGCATAGTGAAACTATGTCTTAAAAAGACCAAGAAAAGGGGGACAACAAAAACCCTTATATAAAAACGCAGCCCCTCTCCCTCTCTTCTTTAACCTGGTCCCCATAAAGATTCTAAGGTTGCTAGTTTTTTAAATTTATCTGTTTCAGAACAACTTTTAGAATCAAATGCTGTCCTTTGAGTATCAATTATATAATGTACAAAGAAGGCAAAGAAAACTTACTCCTTTAACGTGCTCAAAAGTGACATTTTTCATCTGAACAGGATCTACTGCAGAATCAAGCCCGGTAGTAGTCCGGAAGCGGACTAAATGGAAGAAAACAGATGTTAATATTTAACAGATTAACAAAATTTCAATCATCTTAATTTTTAGATGTAAGAAACCAAAGCCTCCAAAATTAAACATCGGAAAAATCTCTGTTCACATACACCGAAACAAAGTACAGAACAGAAAATAGGTCTTCTGATTTCTAGATCATGTTCAAATAGCAAGTGATTCACATTAAAGGCATATATTTTTGTACTTTCCTTTAAAACCAAAAATTATTTTCCTGTTCTTGGACTAATAATAGAAAGCTTAAAATCAATGGTTATCAAATTTCAGTATGAATTTTTGAAAAACCACTTGAAAACTGTGTTAAAATACAAATCTTCAAAACCGTGCTACACACTAATAGTTTGCAGATTTGAGAAAGAGCCCAGGAGGTTGCATTTTTAACAAGCACCTTCAATTATTCTGACACAACTGGTTACAGATCTACATTGTGAAATATATTGCCTTAAACACAGCATAAAAACCCGGTCCATTCATTTAATTAAAAGAAGGAAAGAAATGATTTCACTTTTTAAGTATTCTTCAATAATGACATCTTTAAGCATATGAGAGGAAGAGTTTGGTAGGATAAAATACTTCAAAGCTACCCTGAGCAACTGTTACAAAGTTTTTAAAAATTGCTCCCCAGGTCAAGTGGAACAGTTACAAATGAGTACAGTGATTTCTAATAACTTCATGAAACTAAAAGATTGCCATTAAGACATAGTGAAATTTAAAGGCAAAAGAAAGAAATGCTTGCTCGGTATGGTGGTACATGTGTGTAATTCCAACATTTTGGGAGGTTGAGGCAGGGCGATCTCAAGCTCAGGCCTACCTGGACAACTCAAGTGAGACTCTGTCTCACAGTAAAAAGGACTGTGGATACAGCTGAGTGCAGGTCTTGGGTTCAATTTCTTAGACAAAAACAAAAAAAATTTCTAACAGAAGAAATGCCTAACACAACAGGAACACACAAGTGGGAAAATACATATATAAAACAGTAATTCTAGAATGGACACTAACAGTTTGAGCCTTTTAATGAACTGTTTAAGGATCTTAAATAATTACAAAGAATGAACATATGGTAAAAACTGAATGATAGCTGAGAAAGTAATTAGAACCACCTACATGTGGTATTTATAACTGTATTTCAGAACTGCAAACTGAAAAGATACTGGATTCATCTGATTAAGAAAAAATTCAATTTATGGGCTTGTCTTTGAAGCACAAGACTGCCTTATATTGTTATTATAACATCCTACATGATGCTAAAATTTGATCATCCCACATGTATCATTTTCTAAAACCCTAGAAAACTAACCACTAGGAATGAAAGGTCTTGTAATGCAATCCACCAGCAGTTCCTTACCAGGTGCCACACCCACGAACCCCCAGAACCACAAGCTAAAATCAACCTCTTTCTTTTAGAAAAAGTACTCAATAGTCAGCCTTGGGTATTTCATCATTGAAACACAAAAAGCCTACATAATCTACAAACAGTGAAAAGGAAAAGAATATTTAAAGAAATAAAAAAGTTGCCGGGGATTTAGCTCAGGGGCACACGTGCCTGCCTGGCAAGCACGGGGACATGAGTTTGATTCATTACCACAAAAAAAAAAAAAAAAAGAAAGAAAGAAAGAAAAAAGTTAACATGGCAGATAAATAAAAGCATCCTTACCAGATAAAAATGGATTTTTTAAGAGTCCATAAATGCCAAACAGAAGCAGAACAAAAAGAATTAAACGAGTTCGCCTTAAAGAATCTGGAAGAGAGAGAGAAAGGCTTAAGCTGAATACCACCAATGAGATATTGCAGCTAAACAAAATGCAAGTATCAGGATACTGATAATTATACTTTTATAATGTGCAATTTTGGAAGCTAGCATTCTTGTGCACAGCCACAGCCTTTCAGCATCTTCTTCCTCAAAACTTCACGAAACCACATATGCTTTCTGTTCTTGACTTATCTCTTGAGAAAGTAAACTGCCAATATTTCTACTCAAACATAGTTTAACTTATAATGGAATATACCCATGTAAGAAGATGGATGAATTTTTGTTTTTTGAGACAGGATCCCACTATTTAATTGCAAGCTGGCCCTGAGCTCACTATGTAGCCCAGGCTGGTCTCAAACTCTTAGTTATCCTCCTGCTGCAGCCTCCTGAATGCTGGGAAACAGGATGAATGATTTCAGAAAAATCATTTGTAATAGTTTAAATGTAGGCCTATGACATCTTTTCAGTTATTTTTCTCAAATCAACTTACCATTGGTTTTTTGTGTTAATGTTTGAGCTTTCAGAAAACCCTCTGCAAAACCAGTTTTAAATGCATCTTGATGAGCTTCAGGTATGTTTTTCGTTTTCATGAGTTTGTCCAAACTCTCAACATCTGATCCTCTGTCCCGCAAAAGAAACCCCTACATGCAGGAAATAACACAACAGTATTTATTGGTCAACTGTACAGACAGGGATAATACTCATTTATGTCATGATCACCCACTAAAAATTAATTGCAAGTCTAAAATTTCATTTCTATTGCCAATGTGAAGAAATTAAGATTCAACATCAAATTAATCAACTGACCAGGATACTAATTCTAGATCCCACACGCACACAAATCAATTATTAACATAAAGAAAGTGTCATTACTCTGCACTACACTATACTGAAAACACTGCCACATAATGCTTAGGATTATAATGGTCTGATATTCACCGTACTTTATCTCTGCTGGAGGAAAAATTTCATTACCTTATTAAGATTAAAGTATTATTCTGCATGGCTAGGCGTAGTGGCATGCACCTGTAATCCCAGCACTCAGGAGACTGAGGCAGGAAGATCATTGTGAGTTCGAGGCTAGCCCGGACTACAAAGTGAGTTCAAGGCCAGCCTGAACTGCACAGCAAAACCCTGTCTCAAAAAGACAATAAAATAAGAAAATAAAATATTGCCCTGCACATACTAAGCCTAGTTCTAAAAATATAAAGATAATTAAGTCATTCTTCTTAAAGTTTCTAGCCCACTAGGAAAAAATATATAAATATTTTCTTAAAAAATGGTTTTGGCAGTGTGGAGCTTCCTTAAAAAACTAAGATTGGTGGGCCCATTCAACCCAGTTATTCCCCTTCTGGGTATCTTCCCAAAAAGAATTAAAAACATCATACCACAGAGATATATGTGCACCCATGTTTTATAGCAGCTAAGTTTATAATCGCCAGATCTTGGAAACAACCTAAATGGCCACTGACTGAGGAATGGATAAAAAACATGTGGTATTTTTATACAATAAAATATTACTCAGCCATAATTAATGATAAACTGGACATTTTTATAGGTAAATGGATATACCCTGAGAACATATTCATTAGTGTGACAAGCTGAAAGAAAAACATATATATGTGTATATGTATATAAAAATAGTTAAGACAGTTATACTACTGATTTCGCTGAGTTCGCTGAAGAGAAAGATCTGTATTGGTATTGTTTGGACAACTGAACACAGATGTCTTGTACTCTGGGTGAATGATTTGGGGATGACAACGTACAATGTATGTACTATTACTACCTCTGATTGATGTGCTTTGAAATTTTATTGTACTTTTATGTTTGAATAAAATGGATTTGAAAAAAATAAAGTGCAAAGAAAGAAAAAAGAAAAAAGATTTTGGTATCTAGTTATCGTAGCAAAAGAAATTCTATATACGGAAAACCACAAAGACCTTACAGAGAATGGACATAGTAACTATATAGAGGAAAAACATGACAGAGCCACGGAACAGCATTTAAGAACTGTGTGTAATTTGACACATCTTGCAGTCAAAAGCATGGGACAGGGAAAAGACTAAGTGGCATATCAGAAATGAGAATCAAAAAAAATGGTCAGTAAAGGTTTGAAATGCCCTGTAAATCAGACTGAGTTGGGTCATCATTTTATTACTTAACATTTTTTTTTTTAATCAGGGATTGAATTCACTACCTCAGTTACCAAGCAGGCACTTGTGCCATTGAGCTATATCCCCAGCACTTGACTTTAGATTATTTTGTAAAGACTGAGGGGTAGGTCTGGAGGTAAAAACAACATAGTAAGACTAGAAGGAAGAAGATTTTGACTGACCATAGCGTTACTAACTTTATTTATACAAGGTACACAAAAGCATTCATAGGTTGGTAGGAAAAATAAAAGCAGCTGTGTAATAAGCAAGTAGAGACAAGGCTCATACCTAGAGGAATTACAACAGGTATAATGATTACGTAAGTCACTCATTTCTTATTATCAGTAAATACCAAGAGAAAATTAATCAGTCAACAAAAGAAATAAAATATTATATGTCCTTGCTGTCTTAATAATTTGAAAATTATTCCTTTCTGAAATGTTAAAAAAGCTCTAATTACCTTCACAAAGGATGGTGCTACATTCTGTGTTTCTGCTACTCTTTCAGAGGTGGACTGCAGACGTCGTGTCCTCGATTTCAAAGTTTTAAAACCCCGAGACTGTATAAAAACTAAACAAAATAGTACCATTTACTTTGTAAGTTGCTAAAAGAAACTAAAATGCTTAATTAGGACTCTAAAAAGCTTATCAGTATGTCTTAGTTTATCTTGTTTTTTATATTTCTTTTGCCAAACACTTCAATAATACACTTTACATTTTTTCTATCAACCTTTTTTACAAACAAAAAAAGAACTTTAAATATTTTATTTCATGTTCATGGTAGAAGAGTAAATAGTTATTTCATAGTATAATTTAGAAAACAGGACCACAAAACTGATAATTTTTTTTCTGATCTTTTGTTTTCTTTCTTTTCTGGTACCAAGAATCACTCAAACTTTAATGCTTTTTCTAAAACATGTAGATCATTGAAATGGAGCAATTCCAGAATTAATTTGGTATTTTCTTGGTAATTACAAAATATTTTAAAAACAAAAAAGTGTCAAAAATCAGTGTTTCCTAATTCTTCAAATCTTAATCCAACTTCTTTCCTTAATAGTATATACCTCAGAAGAGGACAGACAGTATATTCCATTTAAATGTCACTTAACAGTTTTCTGTTTTATCTAACTACAACTTACTCAACCATTTTTCACTTATGGGCATTATTCTTTTATTATTATTTTCTTTTTGTTCCTTTGGTCTGAAGATTAAACCCAACATCTCACATATGCTAAGCACATGTTCTACCAACAAGCTACAGACTCATTACCTTTTTATTGCTAAAATCAACATTGTAGTGAACATTTTCATACATCCTTCAACACATGCAGAACAAATTACTAGAAGTGAAACACTAAGAAATTGCCTTTGAAGAAACTGTTATTGTATGTGCCTAGTTATGAACAAGTGTGTTTTCTTCATACTCTCACCAATACTAGGTCATAAAACCTTTTTAATTTACATAAATTTGGCAAAAAAAAAGGAAAAAATTGGTATCTTAGAAACTCCAGATTAAAACTCTAAGAAAATTTTAAAAAGATCCTTTTGTATTTTTATTTACTATTTTTCTTAAGTGACCATTTATGTCCTTTGCACACTTCACATTTTTATTTCTTTGTAGACTATAGATGTTACAGGTAATAATCTTTTATAGTGTACATATATTTCATATATACAGTATGTATGGGTATATATTTAGAGAAGTACACTGTAAACATGTTTTAATTATGTTTTTCAATTATATAACACAAGAATGTATATGTTAATGTAACCATACTTTTAAAATATGTAACGTTTTCTCTATTTTTGTCTTGAGTCCCCACTCTCAAACTAAGATTTTTATTTATTTATTGCATTCAAAACTTTAAAATCTGGAATTTATTTTTTTGGTACAATATAAAATAAGAACTTATCTTTTTTCTCAAATGGATAGCCAGCTAACCTAACACATTTATTGATAACCTACCACTTGTTCACTGATTCAAACTCTTAAATTTTTACATTATAGGCCAGTACCAGTTTAAATTCTGTAGTTTTACAGTTATTCATGATACTATTCTTTTGATTTCTACTGCTAAAAATTATGATTCCAAATTTTTACAAGTCTTCTAGAGATTTTACTAGACATATGCTAACTTTATAAACTTTGACATGAATGGATACTGCTATAATGCCATGCTTTCCCATTCATTTGACATTCTCTTTTGTTTAGAGAATGTCTCTTAGTTCTTTTTGTCAGTAAAGCTTTACATGCACACATGTATATATGTATAAACATATATTTCTTGTCAGGATAAACACTGGATTTTGAACAAACTGTTACTAAAATCTGCTAAAAGAAAGCTGTTGTTTTCATGTATCTATTTGTATGAAAAAAAGTGATTTTCTGGCAAATACTTGTATGTTCTACAAATTGAAACTTTGCTCCTTCCTTTAATGACTCAATTCTTTCATTAATCATAATGTTCAGAACTCCCAAATCCTGTCTAAAAACAAGGCACTAGCCATCTTGTTTCTCACACTGATGGCAACGTAAGAGATGTTAAGAAATTTTAAAAAGGGTCGGGGATTTGGCTGAGCGGAATAAGCATCTGCCTGGCAAGCACAGTCTTGAGTTCAATCCCCAGTACCGAAAAAAAAAAAAAAAAAAAAAAAGAAACTTTTAAAAGGTTTACCCTGTTTCTAACTTTTCTAAGAGTTTTCACAAAACATAGCAATTAAAATGTATCACACAAAATCATAGCATTTTTCGTCTCCAATCAACATGAATTAACAGGTTTACTAGTGTAAAATTATATCTATATTCCTTGATCATTTTTTTTTTAGCACAAGTCTAGACTTGGTTTTGTCAGATTTTACTTAGGATTTTGGTATTTATTAAGAAACTGACATACTGCATTCTTTTTTCTGCTAATGATCAATTTTAGTAACTTTACAACCTAAATAGGGAAGACGGAGGTCTTGCCATGTTGCCCTAAGTAACCGTGAACTCATGGACTGAAGTGATGATCCAACCTCAGCTCCCATAGCAGCCTGGACCAAGGGCACATGCCATTGTGCCCAGCTTTTTACTAAACTTTTAGGGTTGGGACTATAGTTTAGCGGTAAAATGCTTTTCAGCATGGTGTCTCACTATGTACCCTAAGCAGGATACAATCATTCAATTTTTCTGCTTCAGACTACCTAGCAGCTAGTCATAAATACACATACTCACATATAAAGAAAATCTTTTAAACAACAGGAAATTTATCATTCTAGATAAACAATCTAATTATAAAATCATCTGAAGTACTTAGGAGGCTTAGGCAGAAGGATCACTGCAAGTTTGAGGGCAGCCTGGGGTACACAACTGAGTTTAAGGCCACCGTGCACTACATAGTGAGACCTTGTCTCAACAAACAAACAAAAATTACCTGAACTTTGGAGTAATGAAGTTTTTAAAAATTATTATTCTTCAATCAACAGTTATTATCCTACCTATTCTTGGGTCAGTTTTGTCAACTTACATCTAATTATTTCAACACATTTTTATTATTTCACATGGTTGAAGCATTGGTGGCACATGCCCAATAATCCCAGCACTCAGGAGGCTGAGACAGGAGGATCACCATGAGTTTGAGGCCAGCCTGGGCTACATAAGCAAGTTTAAGGCCAGCCTGCACAACACAGTAAGACCTTGTCTCAATCAAAACAAACAAACAAACAAACAAAAACATCAGCACAGCTACATGCAGTGGTACATGCCTAGAATTCCATTTACTCAGCAGACTGGAGCAAAAAGACAAAGTGTGAAGCCAGCATGAGCCACTTAAACAAAATTCCATCTCAAGAATGGGCCAATCCTGGAGCAGATGTGGCTTAACTTTAGGCTACAATTGGCAAAAAACACATTGCAGTGAGGAGTAAATGTGAATGTGCATGTGTCTACGGGAACCTGTCTGGAAATTCCTGGACTGAGCACTGATGACAAACACAAATAGGTTGCTTCAGTCATGAATCACACACACAATTGTAGTGTCATGCTCATTCACAGTAGTCTGTGATTTGTAGCTCACATACATTTACTACATAGTACTGTTGAAGAAACCCATCTGCTGTGAGTACTGATCACTGCTATCTTGTTTAAAAACAGAAATGGAGATTCTTCACGTTCCTATTTCGGCAATTTGGGACCGGGGAATTCAGCTCAGTGGCTCAAGCACTTGCCTGCTAAGTGTGAGGTCATGAGTTCAATCCCCCAGTACCAAAAATAAAAAAAGAAAAAAAAGAAATGGAAGAGAAGGAATAAGACTATTTTTGGCAATCTTCCAACTGTTTATAACCAAAGCTCACTCTTACTGACTCCAAGTCTAGAGGTTTTCCTGAGTTCTACTAGAATTAGAAACATACACATCTTTCATGACACATGATCCTAAATTCCATGAAGATGTCTTTTTCATTCATAACTATCACTATCACTTAACAACTATTGCTACTGCCTCGCAACCAGTTAATGAATGATGAATATTTCTCTTCTGAACACTTCCTACTCATTCAGAGTACCTGTCTGCCATCTCTCTCTTTCCCCTCTCTTCAAATCATCTTTTACATTAAAAAAAATTTTGACGAATAACGAATAAAATTTGATCTTACTCTCAATTTATTTTCACATATTTTAATTTACTAAAACTCTTCTGGTGTTCCTCTAGACTTTTTATCTCCTTTTAATATTTTTTCTTTCATTTCAATGGGCTTTTGATGAGGCCTAGTAAACAAATTTTAGTCAATTATTGTGAAATAGTTGTAGATATATATCTAGGAGCTGGATTTACTATGATATTTGTCACCCACACACAAAATTTATACCTCCTATTATACATTTTCCTGATCTAAAATAACATAGAACTACCTAAACTGATAGATTTCAAACACTCTTTAAGTCCTACTGTCTATTGCAAATGAGTGGTCATAATCACTAGCATCATTAAAACAAATTTTAAAATGTTAAGTAACCTATTACATTTCTCAAAACAATTACAAGTGTTGCTTCATACCTGGCCAGTAATGAAGATCTGAACAAATTCTTTGAAGAGTTCTTGGATGCTGTCGAAACAAGCAAGTGGAACGTAAAGCACTAAACATATCTAAGTGACCTGGAGGGAAATTGTTAAAGGTAAGTTTCCAGCTTTTCCATACCAAAAACATAAAAATTACATGAAATATTAAGAATTTTTATCAACTGCTATGAAAAGTCACAATATTGGCTGGGGATTTAGCTCAGCGGCATAAGCGCCTGGCTTGCAAGCAGGCAGTCGTGAGTTCGATTCCCGGTACCGATAAAAAGGAAAAAGACAAAAAAAAAAAAAAAACCCAGAAAAGTCACAATGTAAGTTTCATAACTTTTGGTCTGTGATATGACCTTGCTTTCATAAAAGTATCTAAAGTATCATTAGTTTAAGAGCTCTTCATGTTACACTCACTTAACACATTACTTTTACATCTGATATATAGCTATCATTCTAATCAATAGAGGTATGAGGTATAAATTCTAATCGATACAGGTATAAGGTATATATGTTCAAGTGAAAATTACCTTTAGAACATAAAGATAAGAAATTGCTCTTCGGTATAGACAATTTCAAAAGCTTTAGTGATTAAAAAAAGGCAAACCACAGCTATTGCTATCTTTCCCTTTTCAAGTTTTCATAACCAGTGAGTATGTAAACAGTTCCCTCCAAAGCTGTGAGCATGAATACAGTGATCCTTTCCAACTCCTCCTCTTAAGTAATGTCAACCCTTTCCTACTTTTTAGATGCTAGGGACTTGCTTTGTAGCCAATAAATAGTAGCTATTGTTGATATGTACCAATTAGAATTACATGCTGCAGATTAGAAGAGCAATAATAATATAAATACTAAAAAGTTTATCCTATTAACACAACACAGAGCAAGCGTTTCAAGAGTTTTATATAAACAATAAAAGGGGGCTGTCAATCTGAGTCCCCAAGCTCAAAACTATTTTTCCCCTCACTCTTGTATTCTTTGTATCTTCATACTGCATGAAAGACCAAAGAAAAGAATTAGCAAATGAATTGTTTATGCAAAGTATAGCTTCGAATCAAATCATCAACTACTCAAACCTTTGAGGAAGCCCCAATATTCTTTATGTGCTATCCAAAAAGATCTTCTGGAAGCTAACCTGACAGACTGCAGTGTAAACCTACTTATTATGTCAGTGTGTTAAAAGCTTCAAAAAGATGCAGACATCTCATACAAAAAATATTTCTTTATCAATGTATTCTCACTAAGTTTAAATAAGGACAATAAAAAACACATTCTTCCGTGGTCGTGGTAGTGCACACCTGTAATCCCAGCACTTGGGAGGCTGAGGCAGAAAGATCATTGCAAATTTAAGACTAGTCTGGGCTACAAAGTGAGTTCAAGGCTAGCCTGAACTGCAGAGTGAGACCCACTCTAAAAAACAAATGAATAAATAAAACACCTTTTTCTAAATGTGATACAGTATAGTGCTTTAGATCCAGGAACAGAGTATCAACAATAAAAAAAAGTGATTTAAAGAAAATTTTGCTGAAATCCAAACAATTCACACTTAATTAAAAACACTGTTACAAGTCATGGTGGTGCACACCTTATAATCCCAGCACTATTGGGAGACAAGAGGATCCCAAGTTAGAGGCCAGTTTCACAACTAAATAAGTAAAATATATACATATAATATATAAACATATATACTACATATATATCAATGTGAATTTGTTTTAATAAATGTACCATGGTTATGGAAAATGTCAAAATTAAAGGGAAGTAAGGTGCAGAGTATACAAAAACCCTTGACACTACCTTTAAAATTTTTCTGTAAATCTAACATTGTTTGAATATGAAAACTTACCAGAAAAAGGAAAAAAAAAAAAAAACCTTAAGAACCTGGTCCATAGTAAATGCTAATAAATGATTTCTAACTATTTTTTTTAATAATACTTACATGGCTTAGTTTCATTAGAACCAAAAATATATAAACATACCATATTTATTTTCAAAGAAGGACTGTGCAGAGATATGAGATGTGTGCCAGTGGGAAGAAATACTTTTGCCTCTGTAAAATCCAGGAAGTAGATCTTCTACCAATTGGTCAATCTGTCCAACTTTTAATTCAGACAATCCAAGGTCCCTTAAATTAAGTGCAGGCTGTAAAAGATGAAGTTAACCAAACAGTAACATTATTGAGACACTTGAAGAGTATTTATGACCTGAAAAAATTTTTCAAATCAAAGACATTAATTTCTTAATATTTAAAATATAATTGATAAAAATACTAAGCTCCCCATCAACCAGAGAATGGATAAAAAAGATGTAGTCTTTCTATACAGTGGAGTGCTACTCAGCCATAAAGGACACATGAGATTTTTATAGGTAAATGGATACAACTTGAGACCACACTCATAAGTGAAATTAATCAAACATCATACTGGATCCCTTGCATAAGAAATCAAAAGAGTAAAATAAGGTCTAAAATATACAATAGATACTGTGAAATGGGAAGAAACTGTTCAAATGGAAAAAGAAAAAGGTTGGGGAAAGAGAAAGGATGAGAGGTAAAAGGGGAAAGATGCAAGTCAGTTGTACTATTAAGATTCTCTTAGCTCATTAAAAAAGGAACGTATGTGCTAATACTGGAGAAATTTTATACCCATATCTTATACTTTGAGTAATTACTTTAAAGATAACACCAGGTAATGTATTAACTATTCCTATTCTATTATTTTGCTACAAAATTGTGTTATTTTTTCTATAAAATAAAAATAACATATATCCTTAAGTTCTAGTTTCACTGAGGTCCTGTGAAGTTTGAAAAAGGCTGAAAAAGTATATCCCTAACGGTATTCTTAAATAAGAAAATGACATTTCAGTATGAATGAGGAAAAAATGTACCTTTTTATTCAAATCAGTATCATCATTGAACTAAGCATTATAATTCACAAATGAGGTTAAGTGTTTTATAGTTTCCCCTTCTTATCACTTAAGGTACTCTCACTTAGTGTTAATTCATCAACAATCAGCCAAACATTTATAATGACTGTGGATGCAGCTCAGTAATAGAGCACCTGCCTAGTGTCCTGTGATGAAAAAAAACAAGAGGAGGGTTCGGGGGTGCGGATACAAAGGGAAAAGAAACTTAAAAGTTACTGTTTTTCTTTGTTATACTACTGAGAAATGAACCTAGTGCTTCCCATTGAGCTATGTTCCTAGCCCTTTTGTAATTTTTTGAGAGAGGGTCTCTACACCTTTAAACTGCCCAACTAAGCTTCAATTTGTGATTCTCCTGCCTCAGCCTCCCAGTATGCTGGTATCACTGGTGTGGCACCACTGCTGCCACGAAGTTTTACTTTGTTATGTTTTATTGTTACCATTCTGGAGTGGATGTTTGGGTAAGCAGTGCCTGATGAAAGCAAAGAAGTCATCACATAGCAAAGAAAGTAAGATCAACTAGGGTGTTCAGCAATATGAAAGGTTTTGACATAACATGGTACTTTCCAAAGACAAATACAAGGACTAACGAGGTCCTGAAGGACATCAATCTGTGTTTCACACCATTAGTCTTATATTGCACCCAGGCTTCTAGTTACTTTTCAAGCACCAAAAATGCCCTTTAACATCAACTCAGCAATTTCACTTGATAAAATAAAGATTTACCAATGAAGGATGGAAACAATGGTATTGTTTCTGGCAACAACAACAAAAAAGAAATAATACCTGTTGTAGTCAGGGGTTGTGCAGAAAACAATTAGAATCAGGACACGGAGTTTCTAATATTATTTCTGTGATGGTCACTCACAGTTAACACAAGAAAATGCAGGAAATCTATTCACGACACCAAAGACATAGAATATTTAGCCCAGGGCCCGAATTCCACAGCAATGTCTCACATGAGTCCAGATGAAAACCGAGAGCTCACGACAGTGTCTCCCAAGAGTCCAACTGGAAGAACATGGCGGATAGATAGCAGCAGCCTCGGAGGGTCTCTGAGAAACCGCACTTGAAATCTAGGAATGGTTCCGGGCAGGAAGCCCTAGGCAAGGGGGGAAATTCTTTGCCAACCCAGGAATGAACTAAATTAAGAGAAACCAACTGGAAACGTAATCCCCGTGATACAGCAGGAACAGATAAGGTCTCAGCATGGAAGCCGGGCCCCGCGTTACTGGAAACTGTGATTTGAATTACCTGCAGTAGCTGTTGCGTCCCTGGTCCCTGTCAGCACAGCGGGGAGAGAGGCGTGAAAGCTCGGAGAATGAGAAGCATCGGAAGGAGTTGGGTGCGGGACTGGCCGGGCGCCCTGCATCAACCTGCAGTGAGTGAGCAAATTGGGACCCTTCCATAGAGAAGGAGGCTTCAGCAGAGGACATACTCGGACTGGGCAGACTTCCCAGAATGAGATGCTGCACTGACTTCAGTCACATATCTCCCTCTCAAGCGGGATTGGTGGGGAGTGCCTGGCCTGCGAGATGCCGCTGGCTGAGACCCAACAGGCTAGCCCAACTCAGGTCCCAGTGCCTGGAGGTGCACCCTAGCGGTGAAGCCTTTGGTAGGTTGACCTGGAGGGGCGGGCCCGGCATAGACTGCCCAGGTCTGTGTCTCCCTGGTGCCGTTGCGGTGGGCGGGAACACCTAGCCGACGCAATTCAAACAGATTGTGGCGGACAGGGAAGGAAGTTGGGCCTCCTATAAACGCTTAAATATAAGGAACAAAGAATATGGGAAGAGGGAGCAACAAGAAAGGGTCCTCGGCCCCCAATCCTGAGAAACATGCAATAGCAGACACGGCACCAATAGACATAAAGTGCTATCTCCAGAGCCTCATAGACAAGTTCAGAAATGAAGTTATTAATGACCTGAAACAAGACATAAGCAGAATAGTTAGAGAAATGCTAAGCACTGCCCAAGAAAAAACAGATGGTACAATGGAAGAACAGAAAAAAAAGGGGAGAATTGTCTGATGGAGAAAACAGAGAAAACATAGAATACATAAAACAGGTTCAAAGAGATTACCAGGAAACTAAAAACTCTATCGAAAACTGGCATAACAGCTTGAAAGAAACTAAGGACAGATTATCTGAACTGGAGGGCAGATTTGTAATATGGGAGCATGAAATGAAAAACTTCTTAAAAATAACAAAAAAAAACAAACAGCAACAATACAAAAACTAGAAGATGATAAGAGGATCTACAACTTAAGAATTAAGAACATAAGAGAAGAAGTGGGGACACAAATAAATGGACTACAAAAACTATTCACAGAAATAATCCAATAGAGTTTCCCTAATTTAGCAAATGGTAAAGATACTCAGATATATGAGGCATACAGGACTCCAGCCACCTACAACCCAAAAAGAGCTATACCCAAGCATATAATAGTCAAAATTCCAGAAATCCAATATAAGAGCAGAATATTGAAGGCGTCAGAGACAAGAAACAGATCACTTACAAGGGAACACCCATCAGAATTACAGCAGACTTTTCGGCACAAACCATCAAATCAAGAAGAGTGTGGGGGGAAATAATTCAAGCTTTGAAAGATAATAACCTCCAGCCAAGATTGATATATCCTGCACAACTGTCCCTAGAAATTGATGGAAAAATAAGGTGCTTCCAGGTTAAAGAGGAACTAGGGGAATTTGCAACCACTAATTCAACTCTACAGAGAATACTGCAGGATAGTCTAAAAAAGGAAAATACCAAGATTCCAGAAATAGTGGCTGAGAGGCCACAATGAATGGAGCAGAAAACAAAATGAAGAAGACAAGCTGACCACAAACGACAGAAAAAGAGCTCAATAGAAATGAGGCAGAGAAGATAGGAAGGTAGAAACAGCTATTTTGGAGAAAACAAGACATCATAATAACTACTGCTGATTTAGTATCATCTGGCTTTGAAGTCCCATCAAACTGGTATTCTTCTGTCTCCATTGGTCTTAAAAGGTTGTATCTTATTGGATTTTATTATATATGATAATATAAGCAAAAACTTTTATAGACAAGGAGTTTATATAGAAATCATTGTTCATTTTCTGTTAATTGGTTCTAAATACCCTGCAATAATGTCATTCTCTTGAATGGTTTTATAGTGTCATGATATGTTTGGTACTACAGTATAAGAAGTTATGCTCAAAGAATTCAAGAAAAGAGACACTATGGTAACTATTTTTATGTCAGGATATCTTGTGGTGAAACACTATTATGCCTAAATGGTTATGTTTTGACCTGCGCTGTTCTGTTGTTATGCCCTCTTTTATCTCAATCCCCTTTTTTAAAATTATTTCCTTTTTTCTTTTTATTTTTTAATTAAGGGAAAAGTAAATAAAAAATAGGATACATTATAGTAACCTACTTTGATTTCCTATTAACTTGATTTGAAATCATGTATTGCCCTCACCATCTTGTTTTGACTGATTTTCCGCTATTCTGCTATATGCTTGATAGTACCAAGTTCAAAAGTATAGGCAAAACTGTGAAGACAATAAGAATCATTATGATGCCCATTCCGGTTGACTATTATTTTCTTTTAAAGTCCTGTAATGTCTCCAATGCTTTGGTTTTATTCTTTACTGTTTAGTTCAATTTTATTATAACTGCCAATTCTTCTTAAAATAGCAAGAGGCAGTATGGTAACCATTGTTGATCAACTTATATTTTGTTTTTACATTATTTATTATGTGCATCCTTTTGATTTGACTGACTCTGTTCTGGTATGTCGCATTTGGTTTTACTCTCTTCAAAAAAAGTAAATAAGAACTGTGGGAGTAATAAAACCCAAAATGTGTAATTGTCATTGTACAAAAGAAATGAAAAGAAAAGAAAGTGCTCTAAAGGTTGTAACTGCATATATGTTTAAGTATATAAGATAGATAACCATATTACTGAGTGTTTTTTGGATCATTGAACAAAACTGTTTGCACTCTCACTGTCTGAAGGTCCACTTTATATGCTTCAGTTTTGGAACTTGAACAACTATTTCTAAGATGAGAATATGTAATCTATTAACTAGTGATTTCTTACTGTTTATTTTTTAAATTTTGTATTACTTGTACCCTTTCTCTGTTTTTTTCCTTTTTCTCCTTAAAAAAAAAAAAAAAAAAGAGTCCAACTGGAGGTCCAGAGCCCACAACAAGGATTCACACCAGTCTCTTTTACAGATTTGTGCTGGGAAGGCCCAAAGGTCAGCGGTGGAAGCTAGAAGAAAATTCTATGCCAGCGGGGTAAAGGAGCTATGCTGGTAGGTTGAGGGTTCCACAATGGAGCCGAGAAGTCACACTCACAACAAAGACCAGAGCTCTCCTGAAAAGCACCACGGCCATCCTCAGCGACACAGAAGCCCTGAGCTCTTCTGACCATAAGCACAGTCAGGTACATGCCAGGAATCCAGCAAGACGAGTCCATCCTGGAGACCAAGTAGCACACGTCTTTCTCTCCGGAGCCAGGAAGCAATGCTCAATGTGAGGGCCAGAGCTTCTCCAGGAGAACCAATGGCTCAAACAGCAACATGTAGGAGAACCCACAATGCTTCAACACCTCAACGCTTCAACGCTTAGTTTCTCCTTTTCCACGTCTCTATTTATGCTGGCAACTTTCCTCAGATGGGACACCTACACTCAACACCATGCTGATGTAATCCAGCTGGCGTTAAGTTGACCACCAGTTTTTAATCCATAACAATACCCAACATAAGACATCACACCAAGTTTATACTACAGTCATTAAAACTACTAAAAATGAGCTGGGAGACGGCCAGGTGTGGTGGCTCACACCTATAATCACAGCACTTGGGAGGCTGAGGCAGGAGGATCATTGTGAGTTGAGATCAGCATGGGCTACAAAGTGAGCTCAGGGCCAGCCTGAACTGCATAGCGAGACCCTGTCTCAAAAAGACAAAAAAAAAAAAAAAAAAAAAAAAGCTGGGTGCAGTAGCACATGCCTGTAACTCCAGGTGCTTAGGAAGTTGAGGCAGGAGACAACTGCTGGTTTGAGGCAAGCCTAGGCAACAAAGGCAAACCCCATCTCAAAAAAAAAAAAAAAAAAAAAAAAAAAATCAATAAATAAAAATATAGAAAATACATAGCATAAACAATTTCATAGAGAGTTCTAAATGAACAAACAGGAATTCAAATCAACCTGTAAGGGCTAGGGGAGTAGTTTAGTGATAAAATGCTTTCCTAGCACAATCAAGGCCCTGGATTCAAACCTCGTGACACAAAAAACTTTAAAATTTTAAATATCAGCATGTACAGTCTAATTTAACTATCACCAAGTACAAAAAGATCAACAGACCTGAAAATAAATGTAAAATGTTAACAGCATTATCTCTGGAGAATACAACCACAGAGTAATTTTATTTCACCTACACTAATATTTTCCAAAATGTCTAGTGAGCGTAATTCTGCTGCATGTAGCTTTTTTTTTTTTTTTTTTTTTTTGATACCAGGGATCCAACCCATGACCTTGTGCTTGCCAGGCAGCTGCTTATGCTGCCCAGCTGTACATAGCAATTTTGACATATGTAACACTCCTGATCTGCAATCTCCCTCCACTCTATTATCCCACTACACAACATGCAATACGTTATTTTGAGAGAAACACCACATTCATACAATTTTCATTTTACTACACTGATTTAACTACTCTATTTTATGAGTAGTTGTGTTTTGAGGATTTTGTTTTTTGAGATTAGGTCTCACTATGTAATCCAGGCTGGCATTCCATTGGTGGCAATCTTCCTGCTTCAGCCTTCTGAGTGCTGGAATGGTAGGCATGCACCACCACACCACCCTGCACTTGGACTGTAATTTGAGTGAAGGGTGTCAGAACAGCAGAGAGACAATGGACTGCCTATAGAAAAACAATGGTAAGGGGCTGGGGATTTAGCTCAGCAGCATAAGCGCCTGCCTTGCAAGCAGGCAGTCACGAGTTTGATCCCTGGTACCGATAAAAAAAAAAAGAAAAAAGAAAAACAATGGTAAACAGGCAAATAGAAAAAAAAAGACAGTGTAAAGATGACAACCTTTTCATCTAATCACAATTTTTTTTCTAAGACAGGCCTTAAAAAGTACCTAGAATTCACTTTCTACTATTCCTCCACTGTCCTCTGCCAGAACTCCTGACTTCAGAATTAAAAGCATCAGGTTAAAGAGGCTGTTCAGAACCTCAACTATTATACTATCTTTTCTTTTCTTTCTTTTTTTTTTTTTTTTTTTGGTCTTTTTCGTTTTTATTAGTACCAGGGATCTAACTCACACTTGCAAGGAAGGCACTTATACTGCTGAGCTAAATTCCCAGCCCCCATAGTATCTTTTCTTAAAAACATATTCTGGGGCCAGGGATTTGGCTCAGTGGTGCAGTGCTTGAAGCCTGAGGTCCTGAGTTCCATTCACAGTACCCTCCTCTCCCCCTGAAATAGACCACATTCAGAGTTTGTAAGTAACTACCTTAATTGGAAACAGGAAGGTTCTTAGGTTCATAATTCCCCATATCCCAGAAATCACTGGATTTCTAATCATATGAATACTGAAGTACAGTTTTCTACCTTGTGTATTTTACTTTCAAACACCTAGACTAAGCCAGATGTGGTGGCACACACCTGTAACCTGAACACTTGGGAGGCTGAGGCAGGAGGATTTCTGGGAGTTTGAGGCCAGCCTGGGCTACAAAGTGAATTCAAGGCCAGACTGAACTGCATAGCGAGACTGTATCTCCAAAAGAAAAGAAAAAAATTTTTAACAAAACCTAGATTAATCTACTCAAAGCTTCTGAGAGTTAGCAAATGATGTCTTACTATACTGACTTCCTTGAGACTTGGAAGGTAATAGTAGTGAGTTACTCATGAGCAATAGGTAGTGATAGCTGGCTGATATTTCAACAAACAATATTATAAATTATCGCATCAGAAAGACTTCCTCACACAACCAGGGTAAAAACTCTTACCTCACTGCCAGCAGCCTCATGCTCTGGAACTACATCTCGATGCTTGTTTGGAGAAACTGATGCACTGACTGAAACAGACACGGGTTTTGGTGAATGGAAGGCACTGATAAGATGACTGAGAGGAACTGTAACCTAGAAAAAAAGAAAAGTTTTAATTAAGTAGCATATGTTTTTAAATCTCCTTTGTGTTGTCAGAATTTAGGATATGTTGAAAGTTAAAACTATGGACCCCCAAGTGGCCTGGAGCTGCCTGCACTCTGCCTTGAGAGCCAAAAGCCCCCGGAGAGATCTCTATCCCCTTGGGCAGCCTGTGCACATCACTTGGAGACTGGGAGGACTGTGCAGCGTCCCCCATCACTAGAGGATCCTCAGGAAAGTCCCTCTGGGTCTACTTGGGGTTCGCCCAATAACCCCAAGTGGCTGGGAGCCACCTGGTAAGGTATGTCTAAGGACCTACACTCAACTGGGGAAATTCCTACAGTAGAGATAGATGTTCTCAACCCAGGAAAACAACTGAGGGCTGGAGATTTAGCTCAGTGGTTTAAGTGCCTGCTTGGTAAACATGAGGTCATTAGTTCAATCCCCAGTACTTTAAAAAAAGAGAGAGAGAGAGAGAAACAACTGAGACCTTGCCTTCAGCTTCCCTAAGGGAATATAGGAAAATCACAAAATGAAAGCGCAAAATGTAATCTCAACCTCCAGCCCATCCCAGGCAAGCCTAGGAGACATGGACATAGAAGAAAATGTAAGCCATACACCTGAAACTCGAAATAATAGCAAGTAAAGTAAAGAAATAACTCCAGAAAGCTATAAAGGAACTCAAATCAGAAATAATCTCCCAGGTAAAAGAAATGATGGCCACATCTAAAGAAGACATAGTTTAAAAATAGAGGAACCTGTACAAGGATGTAAACCTTCAATGAATATAAGAAACAAACAGAATGCATGAAACAGATTCAAAGAGATATCCAGAAAACCAAACTTCCATCAAAAGTTGGGAAAACCCCCTCAATGAAAGTGAAGATAGACTTTCAGACTCCAAAGACAAGACTGCAGCTAGTGAACAGCAAAGGAAAGATCTTTTAAAAATAACAAGGAGTCAGGAAATAACAATTCAACAGCTACAAGATGATGCACAGAAAAACAACATAAGATTGATACATATAAACGAAAAAGGTGACAACACAAATGATATTAAAAGACTACTTATACAATAGCCGAAAATTTCCCAAATTGGAATGGAAACTGAACATACAGATAAAGTGAAGCATACAGCACTCCAAATAGTCAAAACCAAAATAAAACGATACCTAGACGTATAATAATCAACATCCGAAAAATTCCACATAAGAACAGAATATTAAAAGCTGTTAGAGGGCCCGCCCCTCCGCAGTGGGCTGGCCCAGCAGGCCTGGGTTGCCTGGAACTGCCTTCACTGGGCCTGACCCTCAGCTGTGAAAATCTGAGAAGCCCTGGCAAGACCTAGCCACCTGGGACTGCCACCACTGGGCCCATCCCTTACCTATGAACAGTTGGGATGCCCCAGCACAACCTAATCACTTAGGACTACCACTGTGGGCCCATCCCTTAGGGAAACCACCCACCTCCTGGACCTAGTACTGCAGAGGATCTTTGGATCCAACCCCTTCTCCCAGAACCTTGGACTACAAGGAAGTACAGTGCTGGATGGATGGGAGACTCAGGAACCCCTTACCCAAACAGAAGACCTCAGCAGGCTCCAGTCAGTGTGGTGAGTATGCTCCTAAAATAGAGATCTGCAGAGGGTAAATAAGAGTAGAAGTGAAACTCCCTCCAACTATAAGACCTTGACAAACCTGGCAAGAGAGTGGGAATCCCCTCCTCCATACAGATAACATCAAACAGATTGAGGAGTGAGCCAATAAGGCCTCCGCCAACTTGCAGAAAATTAAAAGAGCTTATGAGACCTCCAATGACACAGTAGGGCCTCAGCTGACACAAATACTATAGGCAGGGAGAGCTGCTGACCTGCAACAACCTGAAGACATAGCAACAGCAGGAACCAAGAGTTGAACTACATCAATACTGCTAGGCTAGTTAGCCCAGAAAGAATATAGGACTCACCCAACAGGCCCTGTAGGAGGAATTCAGGTGACTGGCTCTCCTCTACATTGTCTTATCCAACAACTGGACAAACGACACCCGCACAGTAGGACCCAAAAACTCATACTATAGACAGTTGAAACTGTTCGGACTGAAAGACCAAATATTTATCCAAAAGGTAAAAATAACAAAACAAAAAGGCAAAGTGTAATCTCAAACATCTAGTCCATCAGGAGCAAGTCCAGGCAACACTGAAATAGAGGACTATAAAAAAGTCATACACCAGGAACCTCTGAAAAGACAGCAAATGAAGCAAAGAAACAAATCTATGAGACTACAGAGGAAACCAAATTAGAAATAATGTCTTACGTAAAGACAGAAGTAACCTTAGTAAATAAATTGCTCAACATAGCTAGACAAGAAATAGACAGAAAAAAAAAAAAAAATACAGGAGCTTGGGAAATTGATTGAAACTTTGAATGAACAATGCAGAAAACAAGCAGAATCCATGAAACAAATTCAAAGAGATAGCCAAGAAACAAAAACTATTGAAAGCTGGCAAAACCATTTAAATGAAGCTGAGGATAGAATTTCAAACCTGGAAGACAGGATCACAGATAGAGATCATAAAAAGGTAGAACTTAAAAAAACAAAGCAGCATGAAATGACAATCCAGCAGCTTCAAGATGATGCCAAGAGAAACAATATAAGCCTAATAGGCATCAGTGAAGATGCAAGATTCAATGCAAATGACGTAACTAAACTATTCACAGAATAGCAGAAAATTTCTCACAAATAGGGGAAAAAATGTGATATAGAAATAAGTGAGGCATACAGAATGCCAAACAGTCACAATCAACATAAATCTACACCCAGACATATATCTCAGACATACAGCATAGAAAAAGGACACTAAAAAGCTGTTAAAGAAAGCCTATTAGAAATACGGCAGACTTTTCAGCACAAATTTTCAGGTTAAGACAAGCTTGGAGGTCCTGATGGGTTCACAGCTGAATTCTGCAAGAAATTTAGAGATGATTTGATGCCAATACTCCTTAAACTCTTCAATAAAATGGAAAAGGAAGCAATCCTCCCTAAATCATTCTTGGAGGCCAGTATTACTCTCATACCAAAACCAGAGAAAGACCCAACCAAAAAGGAGAGCTATAAGCCAATCTCACTAATGAACACTAATGCAAGGATTCTCAATAAAATACTGGCAAAGAGAATGCAGCAAGTCATCAAGATTATACAACACGACCAAATGGGATTCATCTCAGGAATGCAGGGATGGTTTAACATACGCAAATAAATAAATGTAATACACATCAATAGAGCCAAAAACAAAAACCACATCGTCATCTCAATAGATGCAGAAAAATCTCTCAATAAAGTCCAATACATGTTCATAATAAAAACCCTTCAGAAACCCAGAATACATGGTGCCTACCAAACCTTAAAAAGGCCATCTATGACAAACCAACAGCCAACATTATACTAAATGGACAAAAACTGAAAGCTTCACACTAAAATCAGGAATAAGACATGGATGTCTACAATCACCACTCCTATTCAATATAGTTCTGGAAACACTAGCCAGAGCAATCAGACTAGAAAGAGAGAAATAAATAGAATAAAGATAGGAAAGGAAGAAGCTAAATTATCACTATTTGCAGATGACATGATACTCTATATAGAAGACCCCAAAAATTCCATTAAAAGACTAATAAACAAATCAGCAGTGTACCTGGATACAAAGTCAATGCTCAAAAATCAACAGCATTCTTGTACACAAAAAGCCCAATTATGGAAATATCATCCTTCACAAAACATCTAAAAAAATGAAATACTTAGGAATCAACCTAAGAATGTAAAAGACCTATATGCTGAAAATTATACTACACTAAAAAAGAAGATTGAAGAGGACATTAGAAAATGGAATGATATTCCTTGCTCTTGGCTAGAAGAATCAACATTGTGAAAATGGCCATACTCCCAAAACTCTTACACAGATTTAACGCAATTCCAATCAAAATACCAAGAGAAAACACGTCTAAAATTCATTTGGAAACAGAAGAAACCCAGAATTACAAAGGCAATTCTGGACAACAAAGGCAAGGCAGGAGGCATCTCAATTTCTGACTTGAAACTATACTACAAAGCCACAATGATAAAATCAGCATGGTACTGGCAAAGAAATAGACCTGAGGATCAATGGAACAGATTAAAAGATGTGAGCACAACCTCAAAGACACTCGGCCACCTGCTATTTGACAAAGGGGCTAAACATGTTCATTAGAAGAAGGATAGCCTCTTTAATAAATGGCGTTGGAAAAACTGGCTGTCTACATGCCCAAGACTTAAACTAGATCCATGCCTATCACCATGCACAAAACTAAAGTCTAAACGGATCAAAGACCTAAATGTTAAAATAGAAACACTAAATCTACTGGAAGACAAGGTAGGTAGAAGTCTTGGAGACATAGGGAGAATTCATGAACAACACGCAAACTGCACAGGAAACACTTCAAAGAAATCACCAACAGAGTAAAAAGAAAAACCTACAGAATGGGAAAGAATTTTAGCCAACAACCCCTCAAAGGACTTATATCCAGAACGTATAAAGAACTGAAAAACATCAAGCCCCCCAAATTCAAAGATCCTCTCTAAAAATGGGCATTTGAGATGAACACACATTTCTCAGGTGAAGACATACAAATAGCAAATAAATACATGAAGAAATGTTCACCATCACTGGTCATTTGAGAAATGCAAATTAAAACAACATTTACATTTCATATCACTCCGGAAAGAATAGCTGCCATCAAGAAATCAACTGATAACAAATGTTGGCAAGGCTGTGAGGGGAAAAGGAACACTGCTCCACTACTGGTAGGAGACTAGACTGGTGCAGCCACTATGGAAATCAGTATGGAGAATTCTCAGAAGACTAGGATTGGAAGTTCCATTCAATCAAGCTATTTCCCTCTTGGGTATTTTCCCAGAAAAACTGAAAAGGTCATATCACAGTGATATATGTGCACCCATAT